TGAAGAAAGAAGTGTACCTTGAGTCTCACAGGTACTCAACAACTCTTCACTATCTACCTCCAATAGAAACCTTCAGTCCTTGCTTAGCCCAAAATCTTTACTGTAGTACACCAGGGACATGAGATTAGAATTTTCAGTAAAAAAATTTTCATGCTATTAGTGAGGCCACTATGGCTGATATGCTGCCTATAGGTACTGAACAGGTACATGTCATGAAAATATTAATAAGAATCATACATACTCTAAATAGACAAAGAAAACATGCTTTACTTATCCATACATTTTTAGGGGAGAAACAGATAACCTGAAAACTCGATTCAGATTTGAAGCAGACAGCACCGGTGACCAAATCTTGAGGGAAGCAGACTTCAACTGAAAATTCATACAAGTGGACACTCAGATAAACCGGCAAAAAATAGAATCAGTGAAGAGAGAAGTGTACCTTGACTGAAGTGCAGTGCACTGGTGGCCAAATCTGAAGGATGGAAGAGCAGGGGCGGGGGAGACCGACAGGGAGAGGAGGGTTGTCGCGCCGAGACGAACAGTGGAGGGGAATGTCCCGCGACCCTGTACAGCTGGCGGAGGGCCGGCGGAGCTTACAAAGGCGCGGATCTAGAGGCTGCCGGCTTGGTTGCGGAGGACGGCATGGGTGCGGAGTCTGCGGGCGGCTGGAACTGGCGAGGCGTCGCGTGCGTGATTTCAGACTGTATAATCAGAAACGCAGCAGCAAGGGAAGGGCGGTGCGCATGTGCGTGAGGAGCCGAGAGCAGTGGGCGGGAGTCCAGCGCGAACGGTGCGTCATGCATAAGTAGGGTGTGTTGGGGCGGCGGAGGAGGTTAGGGTTAGGACTTCTTTGTTTTTTTATTTATTTTATTAATTAAAGTATTTTCTTTTCACAAGAACGCGCGAACGCAGAAATGGAAAGTGTGAACGCCAAAACGGAGAGCGCGAACGCCAAATCCTAGTGGTCGATGAATTTTTATGTGCGTGTGTATGTTTTTTTTTGTGCATTTTAAAATAACCGATAAAATAATAACATTTTTCACGTGCGTGCATATATTTTTTCTGTGCGTTTTTAAAGAACCGACAGAATAAATTGCATTTTTCTATGAGTACTGATTTTTTTCCGTGTGTGTATTGTCACGCATAGAAAGATCATATAATTATTCTATGGGTTTTCGTATTTTTCTGTTGGGATATTTTAGAACCGACAGAATAATCGCAAGTTTTCTATGCGTATCAAAAAAACGCATAGAAAAAATCGTCATCCATAGAGCAATTCGAGTTTCTAGTATCGTATGTATCTAGAAAAGTTAAAATGTCTTATAATTTGAAATGGACGGGGTATTTATTTATATGAAAGCTAGCATGTGATGGGGGGTGTAATGAAAAAACAAATGAAGTGAATCTTTTCCTCTTCCTTAACGGAGTCTGTAACATGCACGTGGCTAGGCTTAACTTGTATCTTTAACATAATATAGTATAGGCTCTTCTGGCCGGCTATTCATTCGATGAAAACAGTGGTTTGAACAGGACATGTGTCTTGACTCTTGAGCCTGGACAACTGAACGTCTTATAGACACGAACACGAAAGATCTTCTTGTGTGCTCTCCGGTGACTGCGATAATTTCATATCTTTGGTTCATTCAAGAAAACCGGAGAAAAAGGTAATCATCTATTAAGTGCAGATATGTGAGAAGATGTATTTAGGTATCATATGTAATTTGCTTGTGCGCTGTTCTGATATCTTCGTTGATCTCCGAATTCTAAATTATTTTTAATAAAATATTTTTATATTCAATAAAATTTATAGAAATGAGTATAAATACTTATGATACCAAATGAGGATATATTATAAAAATATATTTTATGGTGCATCTAATAACACTAATTTGATGACATAAATGCTGGTATTTTTTCTATAAATTTGATTAAATTTAAAAAGTTGGACATAAGACAACTCTACGAATTAATTTATTCAAAGGCGAAGAAAGTATCTCATTTTGCCGAGTGTGGTAGGAGATGTTATGATGTTCCGATTTACCACAACAAATTAATAGGAACAAAATGTTTATTTTTTTCCTTTGAAAATATAGCGGACACCTTTTGGATATGGAATGATCGATGACATTTTGTGTCATCCGTATGCGTCATGATAGACATGTATATTCTCTTGAATGCCAGAAACAAGGTGATAGAAGACTGCACGAAACGTTATCATTAATTAGGGATGGTATATTGTCATTTTGAAAGATTTGAGAATATCAGCTAGCGTGTTTAATGAAGTCTGCTTCCTCATAACTCAACGTAAGGCAAAAGATTGAGGCAGAGCCTGGAACTGGAATGTTTGAATCTTTGCACGATTTGTGTGTAGGGTCGATATACTACTACCATATTTCTCGTACCAAATTAGCAGCTTTTAGGTCCGGATTTTTCCTTTTTTTTCTTTGATTGATGTACTTTGTGCTCCTTTCATGGGCGGAGGCAGGTATATGGCAAGGGTTGGCAGCCGCCATACCTAAAAACAGTAAAAAAGACCAAGTCTATATAGTGTATGTATAAATGAATACGTTATACATGCTAGGCCTCATGGTAGCAAATCCAACGCAAGAAGCTAATACGTGTGGTAGCCCGCATGACGCGTCTTGTTTTCTTTTCCAATTTCCATGATCAATCCTAATCAATCGGCTCCTCCGTCCGGCCGTTTTCTCCAATCCGGTGCGACGGCCGTGCCGCATGCAAAAGACGGCGACCGGCAAGTCGGACGCTGGCATGTGGATGGAAGCCGCGAGTCCGAGTACAATTATACATTGATACGTACTACACGGAAGAGCAAATACATAATACATAATGAAAGGTATTATATAAGTTAGAATTGTAATTGGATTATATTTTTATGTTAATCAATTTACCTAAGGATATACATTGATATTCCATCCGCTCCAAATTATAATTCGTTTGACTTTTTTGACCCTAAGTTTGGCCACTCGTCTTATTCAAAATATTTGTGCAAACATAGTCAAGTCATTCTCGAAGAACTTTTGTTAATAAAGCAAGCCACAATAAAAGAAGTGATATTTTGCACAAATTTTTAAATAAGACGAGTGGTGAAACTTGAGATAAAAAAGTCAAACGAACTATAATTTGGAATGGATTTAGTACGTATTACACGGAGGTAATTTTAAGTGGCAAACCTTACTTTTGGATTTCTATTATATTTGCTAATCACAAATTAAAATTTATTTATATAATGTTTTAGTTTGCCCTTACATATTTATCTTTATATGATTGATCTTTATAAACTTCGCCACACCTAAAAATCATTCCCGCCTCTGCCGCCTCCTTTTGTGCTCTTTTTTTATATGTTTTAAGTTTGATGGAGATTTCGAAACAGTTTGATGCGCATCCTATATAACTATAATATAAGGTGACGGTGGAACAACAAATCAGATAAGCACTACCCCAGCCAACTTTTTCCGTGACGGCCAGAACCGTCAGGAAAAATAGTGTAAACCGTCGGGATTGTTTTCCGTGACGGCAACCGTCGAGAATTGGCCGTCGAGGATTGACCGTCGAGGAAGGTGAAGTTTCCTGACGGAAACCCGTCGAGGATGTTTCTGACGGCCGGGCCCGTCGGGAAGGTCTCTCGCGACGGTTCATGGGCATACCGTCAGAAATGTTTCTGTCGGGTACTAAACCGCGTCGTGGAAGGTTTAAACTTTCCGTGACGGTTGTCTAACCGTCGAATTTCTCAAACTTTCTCTGTCACCCATCAAACCGTCAGAAACCTTTTTCCTTCCTCTCGGTTACCTACCGTCGGGAGAGAGGTTTTGTCTACTCTGACGGTATAGCTTTGACAGAATTCATTTTTCCCAAAATACGACTTATTAGAGCCATTAAAATACTTTCAAGCAACTAATTGCAGCAATATTACAAAGTCATTGAACCATTCATTTACATTACATTCCATGGTCTTCCAATATCATTCAAGTATTCACACGAACACTCAATCCAAAGCTGCATTGCACTTACTGCCTCCTACTTGGCCATCTAGTTAGGTACAGCTAGCATAATTTGAAGTACAGGATCAGCCACATGTTCAAATGGCGGTTTCATAACAGGAACCTATGAAGGCGATATATAGCTCCCAACCAAAATAGGCATCTAGCATCTATTACTTTAAGATGACATGCCATGACCCTTGAGGAGGCAATCTGCTAGTAGGTAGCTGCTATCTCACAACCAACATACCTCTGTTGCACAACATGTCCTTCAAACAGCATGCTGGTTGTTGCCTTGACCCTTGAGAAGGCAATCTGCTAGTAGCTAGTTGCTCTCTCAACCAAAAATGCAGCTTTGGTGGCAATGTGCTGCTGTTTCTTCGCATAGCCTGCATGCTCGAGTAGGCATTATGCAGCTGCTACTTCACAACTAGCACCCATGCTTTGAATAGCAACAAAATCCACTTTTGTTGCCCTTCTAACTTGGTCTGGTTGTTGCCAAAACCTGTAGTCCGATGAACAAAAGACTACGGCTCCAAAAAATACTTCCCTGCCATCACACAAATCAATGGCCATCGCTATTGTCCAGTTGGTGACGCATGAGAGGATCCATCTATAGCCCTCCCTACATTCAAAATGAAAAAATTGGACCGTTCATGAGAATATGTAGAGACGGATAAATTGTGGAAATGATTAACTTTGAAAGGAACATATCTATATGTGGACCAACATCGAGCACTATGAAAAGATGAAAGATGCTAAATGTTGCGGCTTTCTTTGGTTCATGTTATTTGGAATGGCCAAGCAATACATCGGTTTCAAGAAGATAATAATTATTCTTCATATTGATCAATATCAGCCCCACCCCCCAAGTTAGTGCAATGTCCATCAGCCCCAACCCCAAGTGAGTGATAAGTGTAATGATCAGACTTGAGTAGCGATGAATTCGAGATATTACGTGCATGGCTGCTAGTAGACAATGTGATAACTTAATATGCATCAACACTTAAGATTTAATCTCACCATCTCATTTTCTTCTTCCTGCAGTAGTTGAGGTGGTATCTCTATCTGCATACTTTGCTAACAATGAGCTGCAAGTGAAGAATTATTAGTATTGCAATCTGACCTTCAATTCCATTGCGAGAGATAGTGTACCGAATAGAATTGTACCTCAAGTAGACGAGCATTACGCTTCACATCTCGAGTCAATGCAGCATTTTGTTGAGCCAAGGCCATGTTTTGTTGAGTTAATCGACCAACGGTTGCAACTGAATGCTCATATCTTGCAAACAGATTCTGAAAAGCCCTTGAGGTTGTTGGCCTTGTCCCACTTGCCTTAGCAACATCAATTATCATAGCCTTCTTCACAAAGCACCATCTCCTATTGCAAGACGCGACCATGGGCCAAGCCACCACCAATCTTGTATGCAATATGACCATCAAAGGGTTGCTCTTGCCAGATTATCTGGGTATTTTTCTTGTAATGCCTCATTGTAGGCATCCTAAAAACAACACAAGTAGTTAGCCAGGAATTAAGAATGGAAAAGCACATAAGTATATAGAAATTCTGCTACATACAACAAGTTTCTTTGTCTGCTGAGGAATTGGCCCAACATTCCCATTGGCATCACAATTTTTAACACCGGATCTCATGCAATGAAAAGCATTTGTTATCGTGCCTTTCAGAGGTCCATACTTTGCTCCCTTCAAGGCATAAAAAGAAGTGATCAATGTTTTTTTGAGCATGAAATGGCAGGTGCTCTGCCTTTGCATTAAGTAGAGGTGAAAAGAACAGGTACAGATAAGTTTAAATGCTGGTTATACTTTCTAGCTATGTTCAAATGGGAGTGATCAATGTTAATGCCTAATAAATAATCAAAGTCATTCAGAAAGAAATTGCTTGTGATAAAGTAGATTACCGTAAATTGTTGAGTCTCAACTAATGGCCTAGAACCACCCCTATTTTGAGCGCCATCGATTTTTTTTCCGAGAATCTTGCCCAAGCTTCCTTTTCTTCAAGTATTCAGCGAGAGCACCAATACTTGCAAAGGACTCCCAAAGATTCATCGATGAACCAATCGAGGCTTGCACCGCATGTACTCTTCAAAAGTAAGTAACTTAGAAGATGCAAATGCATCGATCTTTGGGCTTTTAATGATCTCCCGATAGTAGTACTTGACAAAGATCTCGGACGAGCTTGGTACATCATATTCTTGCATTGATTGTGTGCATATTTCTCAAATACACGGTGCCGCTTCGTCTTCAAGTTCTTGAGAACTGAATATATGCTCTGCACAAGAAACAACCATCAAGCATATACCGCAGTGGATGAACCTAATTCTTGTGCAACATGAAAGAAGTGCAATGGCAAAACTTAATTCTCACCCAAAACTCTTGTTTCACACGGTCACCGGTGTTTGACCATCATTCCTTACAATGTGCGAATAGTGGGACCATTTGCTTGCATGATATTTGAACTCACAACCATCTCTAGTAGTCCCTTTGATGATTGGGGGATATTCTTTCTTTAAAATCACTCCAAGGATGGGGCCTTTCTTCATTTTATCATCAATTGAGTAGTTAGCGTAGCGGAATTGGCTGCGTCAATCAGAAAAGTGAATCAAGGCAAAAAATGGATTAGCAAGTTCTAACAGTAGCATTGTCCACACTAGGGAGAAAAAAAATAGTGGTCACATACTTGTCACCCTCAGGTATTAAGGCTATCTGACCATTGCGAGGCTTATGCGGTTTATTGCGGCCCCTTATCCTCTTTGCTTCGGGGGGCTGACTGTCCACGTCATTTGTGACGTCACTTGACCGTGGTCGCCTATCCGTCCGATGATTGAACGACTGCATCTCCTGCCACAAAAAAATGTTACAAAAAGAAGTACAAGCTGTAGAAAAACAAAAACTGCATACATAAGATACATAGCAACACAAATAAGATGCACATAAAGAAACTAAAACCGTCACATTCTCATACAAGATACATAGCATCACACATATAAGAAACATAGCAGGTACATGAGTCCAGATTTGGATAGAAATAGAAATTAAACAACAAGATACATGAGTCCAAATTTTAGATAGAAATAAGACTTAAACATTAGTACAATAATTTCAGAAATACAACAATCATTTTTAGAAATCCTCTTCTTCGTAGCAGTCTTCATCATAGGATTCAGCATCATCTTCGTCGCCTTCTTCATCACTTTCTAATATCTCTTCCTGCTCTGGAGCAACAGTTTGCTTCTCTAGCTGTTCCAATTCTTTTGGATCAGTTATTTCATCTGAGGCTAATGTGTCAATCAATTCAATGTCACCTAGATCGATCACAAATGTGCCTTCCAATCCATCCTCTTGGAAAAATGAGATGTCATTTGTTGGCCCTTCAGTTTCAATGGAATCATTGTTGATGTCGATTGGAGGCAAACGATCTCTTGGTGCCACATGGTACACTACCCACCAGTCTTTTAAACTAGGGTCGTCACTAGCATATGATAGATAATAAACCTGTGTAACTTGACTTGCCAACACAAACGGTTCAAAATTTTGAAGCCTAGAGCTATGCTTCACTTCCACCAGACCAAGATTTTCAGTTCGCTTAACACCCCTAGAAGTCGGATCAAACCAGCGGCAATAAAATAAAACTAGATCAAGTTGTTCCCTGCCTTCCCATGAAATTTTAATGATGTCTTCAATAACACCAAAGTACTCAAGAGCATTTCCATTGTCATCAGTACACGTCACACAAACACCACTATTGGTTGTAGCCAATCCTGCCCGCTTACTCTCATACTTCTCAGACCGAAACCTATATCCATTCACATCATAGCAACCATAGGAGGACACCCTTTTGCGAAACCCATATGAAATTTGACGCAACACATTGTGAACACTTGATCTGATTGCACACTGCAAACAGTTGCATTTCATTTATTAGTGTTTATTACGATTTAAATAGGAAAAAAAAACTTGCTAAAATTGAGTTGTGACATTACTATGTTTTTGAACCAATCAAAGAAATTGGGGCCTCTATTTCTGCCACGTGTGCCTTTCCAACCATTTAATCTTAAGTTACTAATATCCCGTGCACTTGGCAGGTAGCGCAACACTTTACGTGGAACCTTGTTTGATCCATCCTTATAGCGGGAGGTACCACATATGTCACACGTATCCTTATTCTTGTTATCTTTGTAGTATAGCATACAATTTTTTTCACAAACATCAATTTTATGGTATTGCATGCCAAGGCCCTCTAGCAGTTTTTTGGAACGATAGAAATCTTGGGGGATCTTAGAATTAGGGGGAAGGAGTTCATGCACAAGGCCCACATAATTATCATAACATGCTACTGACAGATTGTACTGTGATTTAATGGCCAATAGACGAGCAACAGTAGAGAGCCTAGAGTGCAAGGTTTGGTCATGTACTCGCTCATCTGCACTAACAGCCATTCTATAGAAAGCTTCAGCAAAACCAGTTGGTGTTTCCTCATCTAATGGTGGGTGCCCACCAGCTAAGTCAACAAGCATATCATCCATTCGATCCGTCTCACCAAATCCCTCAGGCTGTACCTCTAAACCAATCACATGTTCATGGTTTTCCCGCCTCTCTCCATGTGATGTCCAAGTTTGGTAATTTTCTTTGTACCCATTGTGGCACAAATGCAACTCTATCTTAGGCCTTTTATGCCTGAAATAATTCCGACACATGGCACAAGGGCACTTAATTGTATCAGACTCAACTAATTCAGGATTGAGTAGGCACGATCCAAAAACTCATTTGTTTTCTCAACCCATTCATTCGTTGGCCTACCACGCTTCCAACCACTATACATCCAGCCACGATCTGCCATATCTTATCTGCAAACTTATGAGAAGTTTAGAACTACTAACCAGCTGCAAATCAAATTCTGTGCATACAATTACAGAAGCAGTTGTGGAATGGCAACAAGAACAACCAATGAGATCAGCAGTCGACACCTGTTAAACATCGAATGAAAATATCAGTCATTGCTAAACAAGAAATGTACAAAAAAGTCAGTTTTTAAATACTAATACAGTGCAGAATCAACAACATGATTTAACCCATTTTAAGAGATGGCTATAGAGAATGACAATGGAATTAAGGAGCGAAGAACTAACCAACCATTTCAAGCAAACCAGAGATATAATAAATAGAGCAAAATCCGGTCACAAGTCATATCACAACCACAATACAAAGGACGGAATCAATCAGATTAAATGACAATACAATTCTATTACCGTGCCAGTAAGAAAGTAGCAGACATGAACATAGGATAGTATACTGAAACGAAAACTACACTCCAAATGTTTTAACAATGCCAAAAAATTCAGATAAGTTATAGTACTATTGAGATTAAGGTTCATTGAAAGAAACGCTTACCACTAAATGGTAACTCCCAGTGTAGCCAGAAGCGAAATGGCAACAGCAATAGCCTCGAGTCAACTTACCTGTTACAAATTTACAACTTATGTATGTCCGACAAAACCAAAGAAGAAATACTGTATAGCATGAATCGATAAAAATCTGAGAGGATGAACTAACCAACTAGATCTTCACTGGACAATCACTAGCAGAAATTCCAGGTCGTCAATAGGTGCTTAAGAAAATGTCTCTCAGGCCATGATTCACCTCTCCCACTTCTGTACATGCACAGCACAATTTGCTTCAGGCCTAAAAAGAAAAGGAAGAAATCTCCACAAGCAGTTGGGGTGATAACAGAACTATCGTGAGTACCTGGAATCACAGAGCAAGGGGATGAACTTGGATTGTTGATGCAACTTATACCAGATCTGTGAGATTGAAGGCAGCCACCTTTTCCACCGTACACATACAAGCAAGAACGAATTTGCTTTAGTAAAAAAAAGGAAAATTCCATCGAACACATACAAGCAACAACAGAATTGGTGGTACCTCGTACCTGGCTTCTGGACGTCGTGGGGAACGGCGTCGGGGCTAGGGTATAGGGGCGGGGCGACGAGTCCGGTGGTGACAAAGATGGCGGCGGGTGGCCGACGGTCGGCGGCCGGCGGCGCTAGGGTTTCTAGGCGCCGGGGCTAGGGAATAGGAGAAGCAGCGACTGTTCTGGTGGCTGAGGACGGCCGACGGCGGGCGGGCGGTGGCGGGCTGCCGGCGGCGGCGGCGGCGATGCTGGGCGCTGGGTGGGGAGAGGCAGGCGGCGTCGCTCGATGCGGCAGGCTGGATGCGGCGCGAGCAGGCTGGCGGAAAGGAACCCGAGGAAAATAGATTGGGGATGGAGCCGGTCACGCTGGGCTGTTGGCGCGGACTGGACGCTACAGCGCATCGAATTTTTGTCGAATCCCGCGCTCGATCTGCTCCTCTCTCAGGCTCAGGCCAACAGCTGCGGTAGCCCGCGAAAATCATCAGTATGGGCTGGCGACGAGCACCCGTGGACGGCAGGAGAAACCTTCCGGACGGTATACAGGTCACGTGGGGATGGTTTTGTGCCTCTGACGGGAGACGTGCAGCCGAGGGGAGTGGGCTGGGCCGACGGGAGAAAATGTGTCTCCGGTAGTGAAGGTGGCATGTTTTGTGGCTCGACGTATATAATTTCCCTTTTTCTTGAACAAAAATCGATAAATAAAAAAATACGGGCAACAAGAAAACTCAAATCATATTACTACAAAATGTATTGAAAACAAAGAACCGGTTGTGACAAAAAAAATAGAAGAAGACTCATGCATAGGATACACTAGAAGGACACACCGCAGGTTGCTATAAAGATGCATGAGTAATGTTGGAGCACTATTTAAATTAAATAGAACATATATGACTGTGATGGCTGGTCATATATATATATATATATATATATATATATATATATATATATATATATATATATATATATATATATATATATATATGACTGTGATGGCTGGTTTTACGGAACCCCCATTTTATAACATGTGAGGTTAATCTTTGCATTACATATAGACTCAAGTGGTGTTTCAAAAATCAGGTGACAAACCTTTTAAAAATGTTTGAAAAATGCTAACTAAGACATAAAGATGGTGATCAACCTGTGGGAGATCATTTGGACTTAGCATGTTTGAAAAAGGTTTAAAAAACAAAGTGTGTGCACTATTTTTAGGGTCGCTGGAACTCTTCGGTGGTGCACTGGAGAGATGCACCAGAGAATCCCAAAAGGGCTCGACTCGTGCTGAGTTTGAATGTCAAAGGCGTATTTCCAGTGCTACATCGGAGATGTGGTACAATGCACATATACAGGGCGCCAAAGTTCAAAAAAGTACACCGGAACTCTCCGGTGGAGCAACAGAGAGATGCACCAAAGAGTGAGTCCAAGGAGGGCTTTTGGTGCATGTTTGAGGTTTAACATGCACTTGAATTCACCAAAGTTTTAGAAAAGTGCAGGTTGAGCAAACCCTAACTATCAGAATTCATTAGAATTCTCGTGTGCTCACACTAGAGAATGCACCAGAGTTTACAACGGTAGTTCTTCACAGTACATGTAACCGTTTGACGATCTCTCCGGTGGTGCACTTCGGTGTACTCCGGAGCTATCCGTGCTCACAAAAATTGCCCAATAAGAATAAGAGCATAGCAGCTAGTTCAGTGTGTAGGGCTCTATATACTTGCCTTTGTCCGAGCATGTTAGTACTCTTGGACCCTTCACAAGCCTCATATATACACATACTTGATTGGGATTTCATCATTTGAGTGTGAGATCAAGATTCTAGTACATTGCATTGAGTGATTTCATTGAGTGGCACTAGAAGATTGTTGAGCAAGAGGGTTTTCTTATTACTTTTGGTGGTTGCCACCACTCATTGGCTTGGAGTTTGCAGACTCCATGAAGCACAAGAAGAAGATCTTGTTGGTGCTCCAAAGAAGGATTTGTGAGGGCTATTGTGCTCATCCCCATCGAAGCAGGCGAAGAGCAACTCTAGTGTAAAGATGTATTGAGTAGCGCCTTGTTGTTCCATCCAGCTCAAGATCAAGTGCTCTAGGTACCGAGACAACCTTATAGGATTGGAAGCTTTATAGAGGAGTGGTGAACCAAGAGCTCACCTCAACTTAAGCTTGATAAAATTGATGGTACTTAAAAATGTTAAGCCATCAATGCCCATAACTAAGGATGCAAAAGAATTCACGCAGAGAAGCTTAAAGAACATTGTCACTCAGATATTACTGACAAAGTGATAAGTCTGTTGTTGTGAGTCTCGTGGGCGAGTTGATGACCATGAAATTTAATTGGTCACTTGCCATTCATAGTCATGTAACGAATATAATAAACATTGTTGTAAAGTTGAAATCCATAGGCATGAAGTGGAGGACCACTTTTGGTGTAATTTGCTAGGCTCTCTCCTCCTCCTAAATTTGGCATGTTCCAAGTAAGTTATAACACATTTAAATATAAATGAAACATCCAAGAATCCAAAGCAATGTTGATTAAGGAGGATGGGTAGGGGCGGAGGGAAGGGGCTAGGGGGCCTGGCACCCTCCAACCTTTTGGGTGCTCAATATAACCTCTCTTATTAGCTAACAAATAATGATAATAACTAACTACTACTTTATTTGTTTGTCCTCTTCTCTTTCTGTTAAGCCTTAGTGACATCTATATGGTTTATGACTAATGTCTATGTTATCTTCTTCCTCTATTTTGCTCTTTTATTATTGTTGTGCTTTTTTCTACACAATATCCTAGTTGTCCTGCACGGTAGATGATCAATTAGCTAGCTAGTGATGCTAACTACTGCTTGTTTTTGTTATTTTCCCTCTTTGTCAACCTCCAATGACATATATATGCTTTAGGATTATCTTTCTTTTATATTCTTCATCTCTTTCATTCATGTTCTTACAATGATCTTTTGCCTATAAATTAGATTAGTGGGATGGAGATTAGAGGCTTAGGGCTAATTTTTCTCTCCCGTTCACTATAATTTTCAATATCATTTTAGATTTTAGTTTTCTTTTGTATCGCAAAACATATATTGATCTGGTTATTAACTATACTCTTGTCAACTCAATAAATATATGTGTGCACATATTTTATGATGTGTGATTATCGTGGGCATTATCAACCCTAAACACCCTACCCCGCCCCCAACCCCACCCCACCCCACATGCTTAAATCCTAACTCCACCCCTAAGAATGGGAGATCGAAGAAAAATGGGGTTCATTCTGCTCATCTCATGATGGATAATGGCACTACTAGTCAGGCAAAATCAGAGAATAAAGGAAAGAAGGTGAAGAATCCATTTCACGTTAGTGAGGGACAAATTCATAAAAAAGTTGAGATGACATTTCTGCAAGCAAACTGACCATTCCAAGAAGGATTACCCGAAGAGTAAGATATTGTTTAAAAAACTATACATTTATATTTTTATATGCACAAAATCAAATTTTGTTGAAGTTCCTAACAATACCTTGTGATTAGATTCTTGTCGTACTACTCATGTTTCACATATCATGCGGAGATTCACAAAAATGAAACACAGAAGCACGAATGTCAAAGAAGTATGGATCACCGAAATAAAGGGAAAACAACTAAAAACAGTCAGGTATTAAATAGAAAATTGTTAGCTTATATTATTTATTTGTTTATTGATTTAGTTTTACTAAATCCAAATAACTTCTAAATTTTACAAAGTTTTTAAAGAAAAAAATCTCCCAACATCCACAACATCAAATTAGTTTTATTATTTTTTCATAAAATATGTCTTAATAGTGTATTTATTTAAACTAGTATATGTTATTTTCTAAGAATTGATCAGATTATTTTGACTTTCAACAAAATTAAAATAACATGTAATTTGGAAGTTGGAATAATACATATCCAAAATATTGCCCGTATATAAGAACATCTGTCGCTTTTTTTTTAGTTTTTTTTTTTTTTTGGAAGAACATCTATCGCTTGTGAGTTGCCAGAAATGCAAACTGGGGGCCCAGCAAACCCAACTCAATATTCAGCCTAGTTCATCTTCCACCTCTCGCTCATCCCAACCCAACAAAAGATGTTTCTTCCTCGTAAGCTTCTCCAATGGCGGCGCCCCGCTCAGGATGCCCAGGCCCTAGCAGGCCGCCTCCTGCGCTCCTCCTCATCCCTCTCCGACCCCGATGACGACCCTCCGTTCACGTGGATCCCTAAGCACCCTTCTCGGGCGCCATCGACGCCGCCGCCGCCGCCGAAGCCCAAGGCTCTGGCGGGCAAGATCAGGCCCGACGAGCCAGCGCACTCCGACCTTCCGTTCGACTTCCGGTACTCGTACTCGGAGACGGACCCAGCGTGGAGGCCTATCGGGTTCCGCGAGCCCACCCGATTCTTGCCCTTCGGACCCGGCCGCCTCGACCGCCCATGGGACGGCGCAGCCGCAGCACGCGTCGGCGAGGATGCCAGTGGCGACGAGAGGAGCCGGGAGGAGGTTCTCGGTGAACCTCTGTCGGAGGAGGAGGTGGCGGCGCTTGTGGAGAGGTTCCGGCACAGTGATTGCTCACGGCAGATCAATCTGGGTGAGTTTGTTATTTCTGATGCTCCCAGTACCCGAATGGCATCAATTTCTGATGCTTTATGTTATTTCAAATCCTACTGATGAGCATGAGTAGTTGTTTGATTAGGCACAGTCAGGTACCATTTTCGTGAAATGGGCTGAAACCTTGCAAAAAAGAGTGCTTCACTTGCAACATAGTTTGGATTGGTTCTGAAAGGTTTCTCATGTAATCCAACTGCTCCCCATGTTTGTAGGTGTTTGGAAAGTTGATGCCTTATGAAGTAGGATTCAGTTTTTGGTGTGAAATGGGTGAAGAAATTCATTGTTCTTGGCATATGGAGAAAATGGTCTTTGGTCACTGTTTCTCATCTCTTGAGTGGAAAAGATCAAATTTTGTAGTATATTTCCTAGATTTTGGTATGTTTGGATCATATATTTGGTATTCTGATGAACAGTTTGCATTAAAATCATAGTAAAGAACTACATCTGATTCCACATTTTAGGTTGAATCCCATGTGTTGTGTTGCATCGAAAGAATGTTGTTCTTCAGAATATACTGTTGCACCATTATATCTGAATTTCGTATAGGTTATGTATCTCGGCTCACGGGGACATTCCATTTGGGGCGATAGAAAAAATTACATGCCCTGGTATAAACATGTTGTTTCATGCTCTCAGGGAAAGGTGGGGTAACACACAATATGCTTGATGACATTCACAACCATTGGAAACGTGCAGAAGCTGTGAGGATCAAATGCCTAGGAGTGCCAACACTCGACATGGACAACATTTGCTTCCATCTTGAGGTCATAATATGGTACTACAAGCTTGAGGATACTAGGATTTGTACTCTTCTCTTAGTGTCTGTGTCATGTCCTCATGCGAGTGCACATTGTGCAGGATAAAACAGGTGGCAAAGTCATATACCGCAGCATAAACATCATCATCCTGTATCATGGTCGGAACTATGACCCAAAAAGAAGGCCTGATATACCATTAATGTTGTGGAAACCATTAGCTCCTATCTATCCTAAGCTTGTGCAAAATGTTGCTGAAGGGTTGACTTTCGAGGAAACAAAAGAATTGAGGAACAGAGGATTAAATTCTCCACCACTTAAAAAACTGAGTAAGTTGGAACATTATTTTATAGCATTTGGATTATATGGGCTCTCTTGGGCATCACATAGTTATGTTGTCAAGCTATTTGTTTCATTAAAGAGTTTTTCTGTGTTGTGCAGCTAGGAATGGTGTCTATGTTAATGTTGTTGATAAAGTGAGAGAAGCATTTAAGACTGTGGAAGTTGTCCGGCTAGATTGCACTCATGTTGGGACTAGTGACTGCAAGAAAATTGGTGTGAAGCTGAGGGTATGCTCTCATGCTTTTTCTTCTGTGTGTAACTGTGTATGCATGTAGCCATTTTGACTCTCTTGCTCCCTATATTACTCATTGTTGCTTCATTTATCAGTCTATTTTCTTGAACCTACGTTGTGTTTAGATTCTAGAAACACTACTGTGAGCTGTCTTGCTCAGCTGAGAAGCAATTGCAGAAGTAGCAGCCTGATGATTCTTTTGACTTTTTTTGTTGAATTTTACAGGATTTGGTTCCATGTATTCCCATATTGTTTAAAGATGAACAAATCATACTATGGAGAGGGAAGGAGAGGGGAGGTTCATCAAGAGCATTCTGTTTCAGCACAGTGCAGTTCCAGACCACAATGATGCATGCATCTGCTGTATATCCAGAGGGTTATGCGATCACTGAAAATCACATGCTATATAATCAACTGCAGTGAATGATCGGGTTGGTCATCCACATTTTCTTGCTGTTGGTTTGTTGCAACTTGCAAATGATGGCTTGCTGCGAAAGAGGAGGATGCTATTCTGCTTGGGTGCAGAGCAATGCAATCCACACAGCTTTGATCAGCAGCAGCTGCCGTTTAGACTAGAAATTTCTGCAGCTAGGATCAATGGTGGTTCCTGCTGAGAGATCTGTATCGTCAGTCTTGCATCCTTTGGCCTCTACTGCTTTGTTCGTGTGACACTTGCTGTTGTTGATGCTTAGGCTATTTGGTTGAAGGGAGGCATTGGAACGATGCCCTTTCGAACAGATGGTGTGTGTAATTCGGCTATCCGAGCCTCGATAAGTTGTTCTTCGGAAAGGCTGGGATACATTGAATCCATTCGAATTGGGAATAAGTTTGTTTGACATTATTTCAGTATATTGAGTGGATAATTTTGTTCCGTTACAAAGTATAGAAGTGTTTGTGTATGACTTGGTATTGATTGAGGAAAGACTAACAGGGTGGGTCATCTCAGGCCACTCATTTGAATGTGGCTTGGCTGACTCTGAACTTTCTGACGAAAAGACAAGAGCTCTGAAATTTCTAGAGCATCCCGCTATGATAACTCAACAGATTCGCACCACGAAATAGAAATCCTCTTAAATTCCAACCACAAGATAACTGTTGGCAAAGGAAATTCTTGGAGACAAGGAAAAGCGTGTGAAAATGATCAAATTTTAGACATCACCAATCTTTCTCCTCTGGCAACCTAGCTACAATATTACTACATATAAGATAGCTACAATATTACAACATATAAGATTTACACAAACGAAACAAAGAAAGAAAATGTGTTTTTGATTATGACCCCAAATGACTAAAATTTGTCTGGAGACGTGTTCTCTCTCATATGTAGGTTCCTCTATCAAAAACTTATCTTGAACTTGAGCCTTCAATCCCATCAATTGAAACAATAACAACATTTCCTTTGAGAGCAACATTTTTGTGTACCGTCTTAATTAATGTGTATGTACCTGTGTGGTAGCTGTATACTTCTTCTATGTGCATCAGTGCATACCGTCAGTCAGAGCTGATACCCGCTGTCTGTAACAAACCATCATTACCGGCGGTGGTGGTGGCGGCGGCGGCGGCATTTTCAGCGCCGGTGTTCTCCTTCCACGAGGCGTCGGTTTCGTCCCACGACCGCGGGCGGATGCCGGTGCGGAAGTAGACGACCATCTCCAGCGCCTCGAACACCTTGTACCTGTCCAGCAGCCCGTTCCACATGCCACTGACGATGCAGTAGTTGGTGTTGTACGGCTGGCTGTGGTGCGCGGCGTGCTGCGCGCGCGACACGAGCACGCCGGCGCTCTGCAGCGCCTCGACGCCTGGAGGCAGCCTGCGGCGCTTCTCGTGCGCCCACGCGTGGAACTGCTGGCTGAGCACGACGCACGCCGCGAAGGCACCAACGAACGCGTGCGCTGCGGCGGACGTCGAGCCCGCGGCGGAGAGCACGGCGTCGACGGGGGTCAGGGCGAGCGCGGCGCCGCGCGCGAGCGCGTGCAGGTTGTTACAGGGCTCCCGGAACGTGATGGTGGACGGGTGGCGGTGGTGGCCCTGGAACGCGGCGATCTGGGCGCCGAACACTGGCGTGGAGGCGTCGCCGTAGTTGTCGACGAACCAGTGGTACACGCCCGTGGCGAGGTCCGCGATGGAGTAGGCCGCCAGCGCCGCGGCCAGCGGCTCCGCGGGGGAGCTGGAGCCCGCGGCCACGAGGGAGGCGGATGTGGAGAGGGACGAGAGGATGGCCGCCGTGCCTGCCAGCGTCCACGCGCGCTGCGGCCATGTCGACCGCAGCTCGTCCCGGTCGGCGCGGGACGGGACGGACAGCGACGGCGACGGCGGCGGCGGCGACGACGTCGTTGTCGTCGTCGTGGCTGCCTGCTGGCACGGCGGCGGCGACCGGCGGACCGGCTGGAGGTGGCAGCGCGGGGTCAGATTATACATGGCTTGCCTTGTACGCGTCGACGCGTACGTGACGCGTGGGAGCTTTAGCTTGAGCTACTAGCTGTGGGCTGTATCAAACGGAGACCGACCTCGAGAAAACTGGACTCTCGGGGCCTCGCAGCCTGCAGGTGTATCAGTGTATGGTTGGGCTTTGCATGGATCATATTATGCAGTTTCGCTGCACGTCTGTGTGGTGTGATCGGGATATACGTGGGGAGATGGAAAGCAGAGAGATGGACGTACAGGCCTGACAGTGACCTGACTGGATCGGAACCAGTAATTTTGAAGAGAGAAAATCGGATGGTTCATAGAAGAGAGATGTTTTTTTGGCATCGATTTGCCATTTCAGTGGTCGATGCTGAGTTTGTTTATAGGTTTATCAAATACTAATGTTAGGGTTTAGGGTTACTTAAGATAACCGCTACTAGTGTCGGTGAACGCACGTTGAGCAATGTTTTAAATCACCCGCTAAGCCATTTAGCGATCTACCTCCGAAAAACAGCAGATAGGACTATAGCTGGAGATAGCTAAATTCCTCTCAAACAGCTATAGCCGGAGATAGTAATATATAGCTATAGCTGAAAAATTAGAACCATGACGTAGAGGCATCTTAGCATCGCCCCGGCAACACGAAAAACAATCCTTCAATCTTCTCTCTCCTTCCCAATCATCTTTTTTATACGTTATGAGTGCTCTCCAAAGGAAGTAGTTTGCTCACATGCTTGATAAGTAAAATATTACTCCCTATGTTCTAAATTATAAGACGTTTTAATATAGCTTTTGTAGATATATTATTTTTAATGTATCTAAATATAGTGTCTATCTAAGGGCATAGAAAAAATGTATCTAAAAAAGTCAAAATCTCTTATAATTTGGAATGGAGTGAGTACTCGAGAGCCAGAAAGTTAAAGGGTTGTGTAAAGGAATACAGAGAAGGAAGCGATTGTTGTTGTCGGTGTGTTGTAAGTATTGAAAAGGTACGGACTAAAACAAAAAAAAAATTGGAGGAGAAGGCATTCATTCAGTTCCGGTTAGAAAAAAGGCATGTGCGCGCGTGTTTTGTCAGAAAAACATCTTTGTTGGACTGGACTCGCTCTCTGGTAAAAGCTCGGGGCGGGTCACCGGCCGGTGCCCTTGCACCCTCGCAAACGGTTTGTGCACGAGAACTGTTTTCCAGTAGCAGAGCCGGAACCGGCAGTTTTAAAGAGACTGGGAGAGACAATTGTCCTCCATGCCATGTACGCACGATGACTCGTCGATGCCCCTTAACTCCCAGCATTAGGCATTGTTGGCTGCTTGGGCCTAACGTGTTTGTGGCAGGGGAGCCTGGCCAGCGGCCCAGGTAGCCGGACCTTGGGCCTAATGTGCACACCGGAAATCCATGGTGTGCGGTTCAAACAGTCCCAAGTCCCTCTGTTCTGAAACTACAGTGGTGTCACCGGGGAGCTCAGGTGCTCATTAAAACAACGCAAACAACTCCGTTTCAAAACTTAAGCCTAACTTTTGTTGATCTCCCACGGCCACGGATGATCACTACAGTTACGCTTAGCTAGCATTTTCAAAAGCATTTTAAAAGGTTGTTTCTTTCATTTCAATCCGCCACTCAATTCATTTCACCGAACACTTCATAAAAGTCTTGATTTGTTGACCTAATTATGACATCAACCTATATTCGACGCATGAACAGTAAAATTTATTAATATCATCTAGTGTATGAAAGGTTTATTAGTATTTTTATTTACAGTATAATCTTAAATATATCTGTAAAGGCTTTCTTGCCAAAAAAAACATCCTACAATAACGAGCAAAACATGACTTGAAAAGAAATATGTTCCCTTTGTCCAAAAAAGAGTGCACTTCCATCCACATGTTAAGTCAAAAAAAAAGTTTTGTTTGACCAACTTTTTTATAAAAATATGCTAAAGATAAAATAAGTATTATATTAAATTAATCATAAAACATGGAATCATAATTGTTGGTACCGTTTTATACTATAAACCTAGTTAGTTTTAAAACAGTTTACCTACAACTAGACGTAGAAGTACACTCTTCCTTCTGCTACCTTTGCTTAAGCTGGGAAAATGCCGTATCAGACGAGTGGACAGAAACGGTGGCTTACGTGGCCCCCAGGTGTTTCAAAAAGTTCACGCAGCGAGCTGAAGCGTGCGTGTGGTCTCTACAGAAAGTACGCCTTGTCGGCTTGTCGTCCCATTGTTAGCCATAGAACGCAGAGGGAGGAAGCATAAACCTCACCCGATCCGTTGCGGCATCGCTGCTGCAGCTGCAGCCACGGAGGCCCACCGCCCAACTTGAGCAACCGCCAGAGAGCGCTGTAGAAAGCAACAGCACGGGATGAATTCCCCCAGAAAATAGAAGGATACTACACTCCAAGGTTGCAACTTGCAAACCTTCCGCGCATCTATTATTTATGTTTCAGCTATCTTTCTTCTGAACTGGCAACGCAATCACAACCGCAGCAAACAGCTATATTTCTTCTTAACTGGCAACGCAATCACAATCGTAGCAAAACAAAACGGCAATTCAGTGCAAATCCTCTACTCGGTGTATGTTTTTCTAAAGGGCTTTCACGATTCCACCGAATAGAAAGTTTGTACTGAATATTTTCCCAAACAAAACACCATATTCTACTTTGTTGCACTAGCCCTGCAATATATATTAGTAATGAATAGAATATTCTTCAGGTCTTTGAAATCTTCATTCTTGCTAGTTCAAACTTCAGATGATGCTCAAATGACAGAAAGGTAGGGGGTTCAAGCGCTCATGGTCCCAACAGAACTCTGCTAAATACTGGGAATGCATGACGACTAATAACTTTTGATAGTACAAACAATTGAAACCGGGATTTCGGTTGGACTATATATACCCAGAAAGAAAGAAACAGCATCGGCGAATTCCGTTACAGTATTATTCAGGTACACTCAACCGCAGTTCATGGCCTATGGATTTCAGTCTGGTCAACAAACAAGAACGAAACTGCAGAGCCATTGATCCATTATTACGACCTCTCACATGGAAACCTAACCCTATATCTACATGCCACTTGAACAAGCAAAATTGGATTCAGTGCTTGCTACTGATTCTGCATAGACGTTCGTCTGATCTTTGCCAAAGCTTTAGCCTCACGCCTTTGCCTGCATCAGAATGTCAATTTTGGCAGAGTTTAGCCCACATCACTGGATGCATCAAAAATCCATGCAGCACAAGATTACCAGTGATTTTTCTCTTCTAAGTTTAGCCTTGTGTTTCAATGTGGAAAAAGCTATTATAAGACCTATCTTCCCAGTTTAACTATAGTTGTGTTAATATAATGTCGCTACTTAACGCAATCCATCCTACTTTTCGAGATTGAAACATAGGTTAGAACTAAGCATATTGAGAAAGTAAGTTGTGCCAAATTTTGCACTAATTTGTCATGGACCATACATCTGTCAGCACAGATTGACTAGTGAAAATTAAACACTAAACATAAATTCCATTTTCCTTCCCTAATTAAGAAGAAAGTGATCATTTCAGTATATAGAGGAAAAGCACAACCACATGGGAAAACTGAAGCAGCCAAGTTACCTGAGAGTACAGGAATGTGCCAAGGATGGCAATGGCAGCTCCCAGTGCATTGACAGGGCGGACAGGTGTGTGGAAGATAATGATCGATGAAACAATGACTGATATACGCTTCATTGTATTACCAATGCTAAATGTCAATGGAGAAATCTGATCCAGAGACATGTAGGACACCTGGTTATATAAGTGGTAGAACACGCTTTGGGCAGCAATCCACCTATAAATTCAACAATAACAAATTAGGGAAAATATCAATCTACATACAATCGTGATATAATATCACTATAAATCCTGACATTAATCCAACATAATATATCAGTCCTTGATAAATGATAAGGGCAGCACCACAGTCTAACATGAATATGCCCAACAGAAAAGAAATAGTAACGTAAGTGGGTATCTCTTAGAATAGCAAAAAAACATGACGAGTGTTTCAAGCCATCTCATGTAATGTGGGTGGGGACCACACTTGACAACTATGCAAGGAAAATTATAAATATTAAACATTGTTTACCAGATAACATTGGGTCCAACTTCTGCAAGAGCCTTTTGCCAACCAGCAGCCCACATTTGAGGGCCTTCCATAGCTATAGCAAATGGAGTCAGTATGACCAGGGACATTATTGACAGGCAAGCATAGTAATTCATGCCACTGACAGACTTCCCCTTCATGCCCCTCTTTGAGAAGATGTTGCGGAAAACAAATGCAAGGTTGGATATCATGGCACCCATAAATCCTGGTGGGAGGGCAAATGGTAAACATTAACATTGAGAAAAGGGAGAACAGTTGCTTAATGTAACACCTGAGAGACCTTTGAAAACAATTGCAAACATGTCTATGACTCCTGTTTTGTCTCTAGTTTAAATCTAGGAATGAAAGTTCAGGAAGAAAAAGGGGAAAGGGGACAATAACATGCTTCATATATTAGAGAAGAGGATAAGAATATACATTTATAAAAAAAACTCGACCTGCGAGGGGCAAGCCGCCCCCCGGGCATTATACATAAGAAGAAGGCCTTCTCATACAGGCCGAGAAAACCCCCGAACCCCGGCCCCGGCCCGACACTGGGAGACGTAACCAGTGAGATGGGCCGTCTCCTTTAAACCAGTGCTTTGGCACCCGGGACCGGCGAGGGGATTTTTTTAACCCCCAGCTTGAAATTCGCTCCCACTGGGAGTCGAACTCAGGACTTGGAGGGTGCCGCCGGAGTGACTAGCATATCTCAGTTAACCAACTGGACTAGCCATCCTTTGGCCAAATGGTTTCTTAAACAGTTATTATTCAATTTTTTTTCAAGTCTACATAAGTGCACGAGAGTGCAGAAATCAAGATACAGGTTATAGAGTAAAAGAATAATCTCACGAATCAATTTTCTTCAAAAGTAATTGGAACTGACAATCTATTAAGCTCTAGTTAA